TAACTTCACCCCTTTTTGTACACTTTTGGAAAATTCCAAAAAAGTTTTATTGAAATTTTAATTTGCATTAAAAATTAAACTCAAAACAGTAACCGTCGCAATCTCTAAACAAAAAAACATAATTAATATTTTAAAAGATTCACAATCGCAGTCACGGCTACTAACTGTCGGCGAGGAATTCAATATCAATTAGTATTGGTTTTCTTTTTAAATTAATAATTAAAATTTTTAATTACAGTTTAGCCCGTAGTCAAGCCTTTCACCGGCTCTGCGTGGTGGTTAACAACGCTAACGACAAACGTCCATACACACACTCGCACGCGGTCGTTATCAGATTACAGTGAATGGCGGCGGTGGCGGTGGTGGTTGCGGGAGAATGCGAAACAATTCACCAAAAACACAAACAATGCAAACTTTGTGACAAACCGCAAGAATTTTCGCATCCGAGAGCAAAGAAATGTTAATTTCTTACCGCAATTCACGTGAAAATAGGTAAACCGCATCAAGTAAGCCAAGCCAAACAGAAACCGACCGCAAAGTCGTCGTATTTGTAATTAGATTCTATAGATTTTAAAGTGTACACCAACTTAAATACAAGGTACAAAATTTAACTCGGTTTAATTAATATTGAAAATTAAAACAAAGATGAAATCATCAAAAGTTAATGAGACATTTTAGAGAAGAAAATATAGAGTTTTGAAATTGTTGTGACTACGTACTCTGCGAAAAATAGATCCTCTGTTGGTTTTCAGATGTAAGACCTCCCAAAAATGTTGATGCCTTCAATGGGGATATGTTGCAGGACATCTTATAAGTGGCGAGTGCGTAAAGATTGTAAGACGGCATTGTGGTCATAGGCAAGCAAAATCAAATCTTCGCTAAAACAATTCCGCATATAACGTACGGGTACGTAATCTTTAAGAGGTACGAGTCGAAAATGAGCCTCCTTGCAAAATGGCAGTGAAACCAAACACGAAACGTGCGTGAGCTGTCTAAACCAGTGCGACCAAAGAAATTATATGTAACTCAAAATCAGCCTTTATATTGTAGGAGGTGTTGTCAACTATAAAGTATATGGGGCTAGATATATATTAGGATGATAATGCATCCATCTCGTAGTTATCACATCACACCAGTGCCCTAACACGGGCGAAAGCACGATTAGCAAACTTTCCAAGGCTAGCACGCGCAGAGCTAGTGGAGAGAACGCGATCCTAAACATTGGAGATACCCAGTCGTCGTAAAAAGGACATGAGAACAATACATGTCGCCAGCCCTCGACTGGTGCCCCACACCTATGCTTTTGTGCCAGAGATGTTCCTTCTATAAAAAATTGAATTTAGGGAACCATGTCCAGTCAACAAATACCCCAATTGAAGAACAAAACAATATCGGGGTTCGTCTGAGCTTAAGTAATATCAGAAAACCGCGAATGTTACTCTTCCGTTCTCACTTTCATTCCACCTAGATTGCTATCTAGACGAAAGAATTTCTCGCAGCCTCGATTTGTGATCCTGGATACTCATTTTCTACACACCGATAATGCCCAGTCAGAAGGCATAGTAGCAGACCCCTTCTGGCCAAGGAAGACACATTTGCACGAATCTCTTCAAGATCCAACGGAGGCACACCCAGCATCAACTGCATGACCTCAGTAGATAATGTGCGGTATACAGGTAAACAAGCCAACATCATAATACGTCGGCATGGTAGTATCAATCGACACTCCAGCCTAAAGCCGCCGTAGAGCATATGGGAGTTCAATAAGAAGGACGAGCTACGAAGATAAATACATACACATCACGCATTGCACGTCTGCTGAGACCCCATTCAGACCTCAACACGACGAACTTGACCCACAGTACTGCACATTTTCTCCTTTAAGCGATCTAGGTGAGGGTTGCCCATTTTAATGCCCAAGTATTTCAACTCAGTCTTATAATTAAGACCCGACAAATATGGAGGTAACTATTATGTATTCTTGGAAAGAAGGAAGCCAGCAGGGCAGTCACACCCTCTCTCCACATGGTAGGACTCTGTCGCCTTAAAAAAAAAAATCTGAAACAAAAAGACTGCCATTGACCATATTTTTCGCTAGCTATCATATCTTGATACATATAAATCTTCATATTTTACATATCAATGTGTCTAAATCAGTGTGTCTAAATTGTATGTACAGGAATATAAATTGTTAAATACTGTTTTCAATACCCATTAGCAGGAAAAAGATCGTAAATAAGAGAAATTTCCACGAAATTTAGCATGGTCCCGTGACTGTGATCAAAAACTAAGACAATCCTTTTGCTTGACTCTATTACATTAGTTCATTGTCCTTAAAATTCTTCTTAGGTCTTGATTCTGTTCTTATCAAGGTCTCTCGCATAAAAGTCCATCCGATGGTCTTGCATGAATCATCCCCAATCATGAGTACTTGCCAGTTTTCTGGAATACCAACCCCCTGCTTCCCTGTCCTGTGGCTCGAGTAGTTATCTAGCTCTCGAGTCAAATAATCATCACAAGCCACAATTTTCGCGTTTTGTAGTTGGACGCGCACAACCTTTTTCGACGTTACTCTTCACTTGGGATTGAGGATTTTTCTATCTTTACATTGCTCTCTATTTTTTTAGGAATAAACCATTACTTTCAACCTTCTGGTAACGTAAAAAGCAGTTTGTTTTCATTCCCTTCCCTTTTCCTGCTTGCTTAGGCTGTATAACAATAACAAGTAAGAAAAACACCTAAGTTCGGCCGGGCCGACCTTTTAATATCATCCATCATTTGGAAGAAACTTTAAAAACTTTTAAAAAAATCATCCAAAAATACGTTTTAAATGAAAACCGTTATACGGGGCTATATGGAGACAGGGATCTGCATACTCAGTTTGTATCATAGGCTGTAGCACCCATTACAACCTTTAAATACGAAATATAAAACAATTTCGGTTTTTCGGAAGACGTGGATCTGCATAGATAATATTATGTCATAGATTGTAATACCCATTTGGACTTTCAAATATGAACTTTAAAACAATTCCATTGAATAATGTTAGCGACATATCATTAAAATACCGAATATCAAGAGATACCGTTATATATGGGGTATACGAAGACATGATCCATTTATGAATTTAACCTACCTTCTAGCAAAACACACACGTATCCCAATTCACTCAAAAGATAGCGTGAACAGACATACATACACACAGACGGTCATATCTAAATCAACTTAGAATTTTACATTGATTAAGATTATATACAGGGTTGCCCATATTCGACGGACCCATCTGCCAACGCCATAACTTTTGACAGAGATGTCACATCGCTTAATGACATACCGCGTTTGAAGCGTCAGTCCAAGCAGATTTTTACTATGAACCAATACACGCCAGAAGAAGTCAATTGTGAAAACTCAATGTGCTTTTAAAACATTAAAAAATGTGAGAAGTGCGCCTTCTAAGAACACCATTTTCGACTGGTTAGGCTCTTTCTAATCCGAAGAGGCCATATAAAAGATTTGCATTTGTTCCTGTACAAAATCCAATTGACGCAAAGTATGTTGCCTGCGGACTAGCCTCGTCGATTGGAATGGGCCCAAAGAGTCATGGGTCCGTCGAATATGGGCAACCCTGTATACTTTGTTGGGTCTGTCATAAGTATTTCGAGGAGTTACAAACGGAATTGCCTCCCATAGTATGGTGGAGGGTATAGAAACACTAGGAGTTCGCAGATAAGTTTGTACACGAAGCTGGATCATGGTTATATCCATCCATGATTATATATCGGTCTCATTTTTCATTTAGTGTCCCATTAAAAATACTAATTACGAATATGGTTACAAGCCCATTACTTTAACAGGGACATGTTGCATGTCAACCACTTAAAGAGTATTTTTATACCCTCAGCCATATGGCTACAGAGGGTATATATAATTTGATACGGTCAAAACGTGTCTAGTCGAAATAATGGTTTTAGACCCTAGGTCTCTTTTGACCAAATCAGTTTCAGAACATCAGTTTCGATCTAGCGATGTCCGTCCGTCTGTCTGGCTGGTGCGCACGATAACTCTCAAATTGAGTATTCGATTTGATCCAAACTTGGAACATCGTTATATTTTTGTCAAACTTAGATCGAGTTCGGAGATAGGCAATATCGGTCCACTCCTTCTGGTACCTCCCCCACAAAAGGTCGAAATTTTCAAACAATATATTTTTTTTGCACATAAAGAGATTTTGCCCCAACTTTGCAAATCCTTATATTTGCGTCAGTGCTAGGTCAGGTTTAAAAATGGACAATATCGGTCCACTCCATCAAGTACCTCTCCCAAAAATGGTCAACATTTTTAATAATTACATCTCTCATAAAATGTGATGTAAAAGTCCGATTGTCTTCGAATTTCACACATCCCAATAGGTCTGGTGTTAAGATGGACAATATCGATCCACTTCTTCTGGTACCTCCCCCACAAAGGCTCAAAATTTTGAATATCCATGAAGCTCATAAAAAGCGAAATTGAAATCCGATTCCATTCAAGACTTAGTATATCCCAATATTTCCATTAACACAACACAGTCCAAAATGTGCAATATTGGCCCATTTCTTTGGAACCTACTGCATTAGGGGCTAAACATTTTAATAGTCATAACAGAAGTCAAAATATTTTTAATTAATCAAACATTGGCTGAGGGTATGCATCTGTCGGAAAAACCGACCGATACTTTTTTAACTTGTTGGTCGTTAAAATCATTATATGAAAACAATTACATTACATTTTCATTATCCACTTTTGGTTGTCAAAATAATGGGCTGGTAACTAGATATGTAATGAGTACTATTGCTGTGTCCGATATTTCGACATATTAGCTTTTACTTCTTATAACAATTTTTAAACCCTGTCGTTAGCCTGTTTTGATTAAGGTTTTTACTATGTCCTGAAATTATTTTTCTCTTTACCAACCCAGCAGCCTATAACCATTCTCTTTTCCCCATTAAAGAAAATATATGTTTCTATTTTGCTTTTAATTTTTATTCACATTTTCAATTTATTTTTTTATTATTATATAAACCAGTTCCGAATTATTCCAATCTCAAAGAATACAAAATCCAAGTCAACAAAACAACAATTCACCTTATTATTTCTTCAAAAACGAGCTAGAGTACACAACGGGAGCAGAATAGGCCGAAGAGTAAGAAGTATAGGCGGGAACAGCAGAGTATACAGAAGAGTAAGCTGGAACAGCAGCTGAATAGGTAGTATAGGCTGGAGCAGCAGCATAGGTTGCAACAGCTGGTAAAGCTGCAGCGCTATAGGTGGAGGTGAGTGGAGCTACAACACCAGCTGAGGCGGCAGCAATGAAGAGAGCCAAACAAACCAGGAACTGAAAAATGATAAAAGGATATTATATTGGAACCATTTCTGAGATATCCTTGCTCATCACCAATTACTTACTTTCATTTTGTTTTTGGTGTTTTTTTTAATGTGTTCTTTGCAATGGAGCTGAATGAACTGATGACAAGCAACAGTTTTTATTGGCTATTTATAGTGCAAATATTGGTGACAACATTTGTGTTTGTGTGTGATGTATTCTCTTTGAAATGACTTGCATTTATGCATTTTCTCTCTTAAGCTAATTATTCTAAACCAACCGATACATTATGAAAAAACAGCTAATATTTATGTATGACGAATTGGTATTCAAAATATTTATGAATACATTTATTTATAATTTTAATTTATTGGATCCTAAATAAATATTCCTGAAAACATAATAGTGGTTGTTTAAAAATATTATTAAAAATCAACGACGGTTGTTTAATAAAAAATCAACGAAAAATACAGCATTGTTGGTTTATTGATTAAAACAATCCTTCACTGCTCTTTACTATTTTGAAAAGTCAAAATATGATGTTGCAAAATAGAGAGGCTTAATCCCATTATTGTTGTTTCTATAAAAACAACATTTGTTTATTAGTGGAGAAGGATGGTAATGTTTACCAGGGGGTTTCGCAGGGAATACCTAGATTTCGGAAATAGGCACCAATCGTCATAAGTTCCCTTAGTTTTTGTCTGGGGATATTTTCCCTTTAAAATATATTCTATAATAAAGCCCGTGTTGAGTTTTTTTGGATGCTTTACCCTATCTATCCGGTAAGCGGGAATTTCGAAATCTCTATATTTCTGAACATTTAGTTATTTTTTTTATCGTATAGGACAGAAGGGGCATAAAAAGCGTTTCCAGACACACTCAAGATTAAGTTGAATAATTTTGTCGGTCACTGAATTTTCGACACTTGCTTATAATACGTGCATTCGCTTCTGGCCTGGCAGGATGCTAGTGTACTCTTAGTAACCAATCATTGCGAATAGCGCACACACAAGGAATATGAAAACATTTAAGGGCAATCGGAGGATATCACATTGCTACCAATAAAAGTTCTCTGAACCACTTAACCTATAAGGGATTTGAATAGCTTACCCCATTAGGGATGGGCCTTAATATCGCAAACAACCAAGTTCTCTCAAGATTTCTCAACGTAGAGGGGGAGACGAAAAAACTACAAACAACTTCAAACTGCTGTCATTTCTATGCCACTCGTCCGACAGCTGTTAACATTATTCCAGTGCAGCTCATTATATTGTTTATAAGCGTATAAAAGCATTTTGGTGAGAATTTTCCAGAAAAAAGTTATTCGTGATGGAATTCAAGCGTGATGGTGTGATTTCTTTTTATTTGGCTGGAAAACCACAAGTGGCTATCGTTAGAGCATTCCAGCATTTAGATGAGAATAAATCTTTTGTTTCTCTTACCATCGCCCGTTACCGTGATACTGGTAGCGTAGCCTGACGTCAAGGAAGTGGACGGAAGAAAAACAGCAAGGTCAGCAAAAATTGTTCGAAAAGTAAAGAAGCGACTTGATCGAAACCCGCGTCGCTGCGGCCGAAAAATGGTTCGTGAGCTGAACATTCCGCAATATTCCATTCGGCAAATATTGAAAAATGAGCTCGGGGTAAATCTATTGAAATTCCACAAAGTGCAAGAACTAACATTGCAACAGAAAGAAAATAGACTCAAAAGAGCTAAAGAGTTGCTTCGCTTGGCCGAAAGTGGTGAACTGCCGAATTTGGTTTTCTCCGTTGAGAAAATTATCGTGTTTACTTGCCAAAGAGGTCAGGTGAAAATGTGCACCTTCGGTTGGCCACCAGAACTCAAGCGCCGGCCATGGTGATGGTGTGGGCGGCCATAACAGCCGTTGGTCGCTCTCCGCTCGTATTAATCGACCGTGGCATCAGAATAAATGCGAATATTATCGCGAAAATATTCTGAAGGGTGTATTAAAGCCTTGGACACGCATACATTTTGGCCGCATATATTGGACATTCCAACAGGACTCAGCAACATGGCACGCTCCACTCAAGAATGGTTACAAAATGAGGTTCCTCTCTTCATTTCCAGTGCACAATGGCCACCAAATTCTCCGGATGCCTATCCGTTGGCTTATTGTCTTTGGAGTATTTTGGAAAGCAAGGTTGGCACTAAAAAATACCAAAGTGTCGATCACCTAAAGCAAGCGCTTCGCCGGGAATGGACCAAAATACCCCAGAGCAACATTGTGATGGTTTAATTGGCCGTTTCAAGGTCATAATTCGTGCCAAAGGTGACCAATTCGAATAAATCTAATATTATTCTGAAATTTGATGATATTTCCGACAATTTTTGCTTTCTTTCAATAAAATGAAAAAAAAAAGTCAAAATTGTGGCGTTTAACTTTGTTGCAGTTTTTTATCTCACCCTGTGCGCTTCAAAAACAACCAAAACATAAATTATCCATAAAAACGTTTATTTTTCGTCGGCCAGTCCGAGGTTATTTAAGTTTCAAAACATTGAATTGAAGCCTCTTCGATCTCCGCTATACATTTGTTTAAACGTTTTTGTAAGTCGAATTCTCATTGAATGAAGTCCCAAAATGCATCGAATTCTGTTCAAAAGGTTGGAGCTGAAACCTTCAACACTACGAATATCTGGAGGTACCACGATATGGGTTATATAAATTTGGGCCCATTTTTTGCGGAGAGGTTTGCCTTAGATTTCTTTATTTAACGTTTCACGCCCACAAATTTTGGTCTGATGATACCTTTATTGAAAATTTACAGGACCGGAAGTTGTACCTTATGGTACTGTGTTACTGTCCACAGCGAATATTCTTTTTGTAGAAAGGGTTTATTGTTAAAAGTACCTGAATTTTTAAACTACCACTGATTGGAAAATGCATCTTCGACCTTGAAAATCAGAATAACACAGAAACATCCACCACCATGGCTTTTTCTGCTGGTTAAGAAAAAAAGATAATAATTATTCCTGAACTGGTTTCAAATCTGTCTTAGAAGAAGATAGAACTCAACCAATAAAAAAATCTGGGTTGCAATAGGATTTGAAATAATATTGATCGACTCTAATCCACAGAACGTTGTATTGAGAGATTGTATCAGAAACATGTCATGCTCTAAACATGTCACTTTGATTTGTCAAAATTTCTTCAGATTTTAAATATATTCTGGCACATGCAAATGAGATAAATCCAAAAAAAAAAAAACAGCAATTCATACATGACTTCAACAATAATTGGTAAGTGGGGGTGTTAAAGCTGCTGTCGCAACCTTGACAAGCGAGGCATATCATTTAACCAATTAATCAAAATAATTTGGCAAATATTATCCATTAAACAAAGACACACTTTGCTAAAATAACAACAAATTAAACATAATTACTGGAAAATATTATTATTTGGCTACCATTTTAAAGTGCTTTAAAAAGTAAATAAATAACTAAAAAAAATCGCAATTTTATTAAACAAACAAATTGTTGATTCTAAAACCAGCCATATTTCTGTCATAACAAACGTTTGCAAACAAGAAATCAATGTTTGGGAGTTGGTATTCGAATAAGTATTAATCGGATTACATCTGAGTGTTTGGCTGTTGGTACTGTTTTTGTGGGGTGGAAGCAAAATAAAAAAATATATCCGCATTTGAAGTAGTCCATTGTTATAAACTGCCTCTTATTTTTGGGATATTTCTTTCTGTTACTCATCAACAAATCACACTGTGTGACAATAAGAATTGAATACATGGTATAGAATATAGCAGAATATATTTCTTCTTTGGATAGACGTCCTCTGTAGGTAAATTGTATGTAAATTTAGTTTTGCTGCTCTATTAAATTCACGATTTTATACCCTCCACCACACATAGTATGGAGGGTATATTAAGTTCGTCATTTCGTTTGTAACTCATCGAAATAATCATTTTAGACCCAACAAAGTATATATATTCTTGATCAGCGTAAAATTCTGAGACGATTTAGCCATGTCCTTCTGTGTACTTTACCCCCTGAAAGAGAATTCTCTTTATAGGTTAACGATATCGTATGTCCCCCATATAACGGTACCCCCGATATTCGGTAGCTTGATGATTTTAGCCACATTTTCCAATGGTATTGTCTGAAATTCCACACAAGGAGTTCCTTGTGACTACTTTATCCCCTGGAAGATAGTTATCTATATAGGTCCATGATATGGTATAGCCCCAATATAAAGGTACCCCTCGATATTCGGTATTTAGATGATTTTAGCCACATTTTTTAATGGAATTGTCTGAAATTCCACACAAGGAGTCCCTTCTGAGAACTTTACCCCCAGACATAGATTTGTTTATATAGGTCCACAAAATCGTATATCCCCCATATATCGGCACCTTTCGATGGATTTTATTTTTTTATTTTGAAAAATTTCTAATTCGTTTCAAATGGTGGAGGGTATTCAAAGTTCGGCCAGGCCGAACTTACTGCTTTTTTACTTGTTAAAAATTGAAACTTGAAGTTATGCACAGGCATTGATATTGTTCCGCAAAGAAAAAATCAATGCGAATTTACTCGATGTATTTTCGTTATTCTGTATAAATTATGTTTTACCACTGGTTTTTTGGTGATTTAAAAATAACTAAGAGAAATTGGACTAGTAAGCCAGGTCTGGTTTGAAAGCAACGCTGTCTTAGAGCCAACTTTTACTCTATTTCACTATAATATTTATACAGGAGTGCTCGCTCACAAAACAAAAGTGTGAAGAGTAAATCTCCAGCACTCCTGGCATAACAACTCAATCATATATTCTACTTTTTATAAACTCGTATCTCTCTTTTTTATACCATCCACCATACTATAATGGGTATATTAAATTTGTTATTCCGTTTGTAACACCTCGAAATATACATTTTAGACTCCATAAAGTATATAAATTCTTAATCAGCATAAAATTCTATGTCGATTTAGCGATGTCCGTCCGTCTGTGGAAATCACTCTAGCTTCTGAACGAAATGAAGTAGGTAGATAACATTTTACTCATATGTGTATTATGTCTACAGGACTTTTGGTATTGAAAATGGGTCATGAAGGTCCACGTTTTGGTATAGCCCACATATAGTGGTTCCTCTCTTTATCGGTAATTTGTTGATCTAAGCAACATCAATTTAGCATTTGAAGTTCATAATGTTTCAAGTTTAGTATTTGATGGTCGTCTTCGTATAGCCCCAATATAACGGTACCTCCCGATATTCGGTATTTTGATGATTCTAGCAACATTACTCACCGAAATTCTTTCAAATTTGGTATTTGATATTCGCAATAGATGCTACAGCCTACGACAGGAGATTGTCTGTGCAGGTCCACGTCTTCGTATAGCCCCAATACCTCCCTATATTTGGTATTTTGGTGATTTTAGCTACATTATTCACCGATTTTTTTTATTCAAGCTGCACATTCGAATATTGTAATGCTTTATGACAAAAGTTGCCTATACAAGTCCACGTCGTCGTATAGACGTTTAACGGCTACATTCGGTATTTTAAGATTTTAAATGTATTTTTAACAAATTTTATTTTTTTTTTAATTGCCAAAATTCTCCAAATGGTGGAGAGAGCTTTTTTACTTGTTATTATGCAAATTGTTGGCCCTCAATGGAGTAGGTTCCGGAGAAATGGGTCAATATTTTCAATTTCGTATGGGACTACTTCATCCACTTTATACGAAATATGTGACCATTTTTTTGAAAATGTTCATCAAATACAGATCAAACTATTTGTACGGGCTAAAATACAAAAAAATCGAACATTTATGTCCAATTTTATGTGAAATCATACATACTTTTGAAATTTGAAAAGAGTTGCATGCTTATTTGGCGTTTCCTGAGCGTGCCAAATTAAAATGGAATCGGATGTTTATTTCGCATTTTAGGAACTTCATGGATATTCAAAATGTTTACCCCTTGTGGGTCAGATATCTTCTGTTAGTAGAAATAATGGGATGTGTGAAGTATGAAGAAAACCAGATGCTTATTTCGGATTTTATGATGATTATGGTTATTCCAAACATTGACCCTTTGTGAGGGAGATAACAGAAGGAATGGTGCGATCTCTAGCATCTTTATAACAGATCTTGTGTTGATAGAAATGTTGAGATCTGTCAAGTCTAAATGGAATCGGATGTTAATTTCGCGTTTTATTAGCTTTATGGATATTCAAAATTGTGACCCTTTCTGAGGGAGGTACAAGAAGGAGTGGAACGATATAGTCCATATTTACACCAGACCTTGGGTTAATTAAAATATTTTGATGTCTGTAATAATCGGACTCGTACATCGCATTTTACAAGAGTTATAATTACTCAAAACTTTGACACCTTGTGGAGGAGATACTTGATGGAGTGAACCGATATTGTCCATTTTTACACCTGATACAAATATTAGAATTTGCAAAGGTGGAGCAATATCAGATTATCCTTTCTCTTTTTGTCCAGTAAAATCATTTCTTTTAAAACGTTGATGTTTTGTTGGCGGGTGGTACTAAAAGGAATATACCGATATTGTCCATGTCGGAACTCGATCTAATTTTGACAATAGTATTACGATGTACCAGTTTGGATAAAATCGGATACTCGGACGGACATCGCTAGATAGACTCCAAATGTCCTGAAACGGCTTGTTCCAAAGAGACCTAGTGTGTATACCCGTTATTGCGATGAGGTACGGTAATATGGGGGTTATACGGTATCGTGGACCTATATAGGCCATTCTCAATACCCAAAGTCCTGCAGATGAAACACCCATTTAAATAAAATTTTATCAGCCTACTTCAATTCGTTCGGAAGCTAGAGTGACCTGGCATAACAATATTTATTTCATATTTATTTAAGTCCGATACGAAATGGACACTATTGACCCATTCCTTGGGAACCTATTACATAGAAGGTCAACAATTTGAATAATCATAACAAAAGTCAAAATATATTTAAATATTCAAATATTAGGTGGGAGTATACACCTGTCGAAAAAACCGACTAATACTTTTTAACTTGTTCGAGTTGAATTCAAAATTTTTATTTTAATAATTTAAGACGTTTCCATTATAAGTCAAAATCTCCCATTTTACGTAATTTTTTGATGAAAGGTTAAAAGAAGGAAATATTTTTCATCAAATGTCAATGTGACTGCAGTTTTTTTGGATATGTTTCGCAAAATTTCATATAAAACTTTGAAAACTTGCAGAAAACTTTGGATTTCGTCAAGGACTATTGGTTTCAAAAAGGGGCCATGTCGGTCCACTTTATGGTATATTCACTATATATGTCGAAACCCCCATGTTAAGTATTTTTTACATTTTTATAAGTAATAAGAATAAGTTGTAAGTAATTCTAAAAATACCTCTCCACATAGGTGATTAGAGATAGATGAGACTATTATAAAATATTGATAATTATGTGCTTTTGCATCTCTCAAAAATACGATGTCCAGTGTAAATAATCCATCAAACTAGTTCTAATTGTATAGTCCGAAACCATTGCTTCGTATTCCCCAAAAAATAATCGATTGCGGCAAAAAAGAGTTTAAAGACAGGTAAATAACCAATAACAATAGCTTCAATTTATAGTCAGCTGCTGGTTTTTTATTGTTTGCGCTGGAGGAGACAACAAGAAATATTTTGAATAAAATCGAAAAAAAAATTGTCATTTCATCATGTTTTTCTGTCTATTTCGTGTTTTTTTTTTCAGAAGCCACATGAACTACAGCCCCCAATTGTAAAAGAATATCGATGGCAAATGGTGTCGTGTTGACAGTGAGAATGGCATAACAAGGGCGTGACGAATTCTAGACATAAGCTGTTGACACTCTACATACATACATACAGATGATGTATGTGTGAAGGTAAGTATTGATGCCTTAGGTTTGATCTTGGTTGTGACCAAAATTCTTTCCCTTCCTTGTGCTGTTGTTCTGCTTCTGTCTCTGGAATACTAGAGTATAAAAAGCACTGGCTTGGCTGGTAATCGATATCAGTTCATTAAGCTCCATTGCAAAGAACAGTCTTCTTACCCCAATAACAACAACAAAATGAAAGTAAGTTTTGTTGTGTTTTTTGTTTAGCTTTTGATTAATTGTTTGCCAAAGCAAGGAACATCATTTTAATTGACTTTTATTTTCTTTTTCGTTTTGTTTTTCCATTATCCTTAAAAGTTCCTCGTGTGCTTGGCTTTGTTCGTCGCTGCCGCCTCCGCCGGTGTAGTTGCTCCCCTCACCACAACTTATAGTGCTGCTGTGCCTGCTGTTGCCACATATGCCGCCGCCCCTGCTTACACCGCATATGCTGCTGCTCCCGCTTACACCCACTCTGTGTACAGCGCTGTCCCTGCCTACACTTCGTCGGTTTACAGTGCTGCCCCAGCCTACACCACCTATGCTGCTGCCCCTGCTGTAGCCTATAGTGCTCCCGCTGTCTACTCGACTTTGTTGAAAAAGAAGTAAATTTGAAAGGGAAGATTCTTTGAGATTGGATTGTTTGAATTGATGTCGATGAGTTTGGATAGAAAAGATTTTTTGTAATAAAGTGAAATAAAAATTTAAAATAAAGTAATAAAAAGGTATTTTAATATTTTTTTAAATTAATTTTATAGTTGGTAACTTGTTATTTTATTATCACAAAAATTATGGAATCATGAGCCATATCGGTCCACTTTTTGATATAGTCCCTATATATGGCTAATCCCCGAAAGAAAGCGAGATAGACTCATAGTTCCTCTTGAAGATATGCATAGATTCACATTCTGAGACAAATTATGCATGTCCGTCTGTCCGTCAATCAATGTATTTTTGTAAACAAAGTCGCAGGTCGCATTTAATATCCGTTCGAAATGAAATTTTACACAAATCATTTGTTTGACCCAAGGACGAACCCTATTGAAATTAAAGATAATCGGTAAAAATTTAGACGTAGCTTCCATATATATCTTTGTACGATTTAATTTTTTGTGCACCAAATATGTAATATAAGTCCAAATAAGATGGAATTGGGCACATAAGACCAAACTGTGCGTCAGTCAGTCAATTTTGTGAAAATCGATTTAGATATAGCTGTAGATCCCATATATATTGTTTATTCGATTCCTATTTTTTGTCCTCCAATGCCGCAATAGGTACACCGTGACAATAATATTCAGGGAAATACATCAAATATAGCTCAGAAAAACCTGTGTCAAACTTTATCGAGATCGGTTCAGATTTAGATATAGCTCTCACATATTTTTTTTTACTAGAGTCCAATTTTATTGTGCACCAACTGATTAACATAAGGCCAAATTCAATGTCTTTTGCTACATACAAACGAAATCTGTCTGGAAGAAAGTGTATCAAATTTGGTAAAAATTGGTTAAGATATAATTATAGGTCACGTATATATGTTTCATCCGATTATTTATTTAAGGCAATCACATCCGTAAAATGCTTTGGCAACAACAATATTTAGTACCAACTATCAGATATATCATAGATATAGCTCTTCTTAATTGTATAGAGATCGGTTCAGATTTGGATAGCTCACCTATATATCTTCATCTGATTTCACATTTATTGTATGTAAAACGTATGAATATTGACGAATATTGGTTCTGATACAAATGCCTCTGCTAAATTTAGTAGAAATTGATTCAAAGTGAGATATAAAGGGTGAAATAAAAAAAATGCAACAAAGTCAAACGCCATCATTTTTACATGTTTTTTAAATTTTATTTAACGTAAGCCAAAAATTTAGAAAATAGCATCAAATTCGTCACCCTTGGTACGAATTATAGTCTTTAAAGGTCAATGAAACCGTCACACGCTGCCCGAATGTTGCTCTGCGGTATTTCGACCCATTCCGCGAGTTGCTTGCCGCAAACCTTGCTTTCCAAATACTCCAGACACAATAATCCAACGGATTGGTATCCGGAGATATTCGCATTCGTGCTGAATGCGATGGTGCTAAGTCCTGTTGGAATGTCCAAGTCTTTAATACACCCTTCAGAATATTTTCGCTATAATATTCGGCATTTATTCTAATGCCACGGTCGATTAATACGAGCGGAGAGCTACCATCGGCCGGCGCTTGAGTTCTGGTGGCCAAGCTGACCTCTTTGGCAAAGTAAACACGATCATTTTGTTTGTTTACAAACTGCTGGACAACGAATGTTTTCTCATCGGAGAAAACCAAATTCGGCAGTTCACCACTTTCGGCCAAGCGAGTCTATTTTTTCTGTTGCGGCGTAAATTCCTGCACTTTTTGGAATTTCAATGGCTTTACCCCGAGCTTATTTTTCAATATTTCCCGAATGGAATATTGCGATATGTTCAGCTCACGAGCCATTTTTCGGTCACTGCGACGCGGGTTTCGATCAAGTTGCTTCTTAACTTTTCGAACCATTTCAGCTGATGTTGCTGTTTTTTTTTTTTTTTTTTTTTTTCTGGAAAATTCTTAAGAAAAATTCTTTTGAACGCTTGTAAACAAAATAATGAGCTGTCACTGGAATAATTTAAACAGCTGTCGGACGAGTGGCTTAGAAATGACAGCAGTCTGAAGTTGGTTGCAGTTTTTTCATCTCACTCTGTATTTCATGCGATTTGGGGTTTGAAGTTTTTCACATGGTCATATTCACTCCAGAAGAATGATATTTGGTACCGGACATCAGATACTGTTCGAAAATACCTCTGTCAAATTTTATGGAGATCGGTTCAGATTAGGATATAGCTCCCATATATATTTTTATCCAATATCAGGTTTATTGTTCACCAAATGACCAATAGCGGTCCAAATGGCCTGAATTTTGGAAATTACGACTGAATTCATCCTATAAAACAGTACTTCAAATTTGGTGTAAATCGATTCCGATATAGCTATAGCTCTCCTATATGTGTTCTATCCATTTCGGGGTTTAAAGTCCCTTACAAGCGTAATATGCATTCCACATCAATGATCTTTAGTACCAGATATCAAATACAGCTGTGAAATAAGTGCATGCAATTTTGTCAAGATCGGTTCAGATTTGGATATAGCTCCCATATATACGCTTTCAGGTTAATTGGTATCGGTAATGGCCAATATCTGTCAAAAGGTCCTGAATTTTGGTACATCCTACCGAATTCAGTCTAGAAGCAAGTACATCAAATTTGGAGAAAATCGGTTCAGGTATAGCTATAGCTCCCATATATATATATATATTTCATGCGATTTGGTGTTTATCTCCCTCACATTCGTAATATGCATTTGACAACAATAATATTTGGTACCAGATATCTTAGAAAGCTCGGAAATAACTTTGCCAAATTTTGTCGATAACTTTTAAGAATTGGATATGGCTCCCATACATATCCTTAGTCTGATTTCAGGTTTCTTGTGCAAATAATGGCTAATATCAGTCCAAATGGATTGCATTTCGGGACGTACGTTTATTTTGTGGAACTCGGCTCCGAATTTTTTTAAATATAATCCAACTCCAAGTGATATTAAGCACTCTGCTCTAAAAACAAATGTTGATAGGTGGTATGATCTATTTCAAATAAATTATTTTGTTATGGGATCTCTACTAAATATACATAGTGCTGTAGGGTATCCTATAGTCGGCCCCTCCCAACGTTTTAACTTTTCCTTACCGGTTTCTATTTAATTTTGGTACTTTGAGTTCTCAACATATAGAAACGCTGGTAGCACGCCATTATAAACTAAGGTCTACTTTTCGGTGCAGATCTTCAAAGATACCCCTAGATTTTAGTTATTGCGAGGGGTAAACAGTTTCTTTGTTGTTTGATTATACTTTAATATATTGTTTATTACTAAGAAAGTTACCGTGCACACCCAATGTATGTAATCTCTTATCTCATCATAATTTGTCTATTTGTTTAAACCACATCTACTTTAGATTGTGATAATAAGTTGTTTAAATAAATCACAGTATTAAGTGGAGCAGGAAAAGTAATCATATGGTAAAACATAGAGATTAAAATTTTTAATAATCTGAAATGTCTTATCTTGGGTGTTGACAAATTTCAGAACATTTCATCCGGCCCATTAGCTCAGTTGGTTAGAGCGTCGTGCTAATAACGCGAAGGTCGCGGGTTCGATCCCCTCATGGGCCAATATGAAATTATTTTACAAATTTCTTAAAAAAATTATTTGTTTGCTGCGACTGTTGATGAACTTTTCAAATTATGAAATGAAATATGTTGAGGAATAAGAAAATCTTTGTAAAAAACAGTACTAAGATTTATTATGCCAGCGAGGTCTATCTAAAAGTGCAAACATCATTCAAATCTTTAGGAAAACCGAGATTTTTTAATCTGAATTTTTTTTTTATCAATTTAATATAAAAAAGAGACCAACGCCTGCCCTCGATCTTAAATCGGACATCGGGCCCATCTTCGAACTTGGAAAATTTCATTTTCCTATCTGGTTTAGTTAGGATGCTAACATGATAAAAACAAACGGGCGGTCAGTTTTTGATTAAAATAAAAGCTGAAATAAAAGCTGTCTTTCTGAAATGTTATTATTTTCTGTCTTACCCCTACCGAAGTTTAAGTCCAAATTATGGACGTTGATGCATTGGTATAATATTTTGATTGGCTTTAATAGACAAAGTAGGCCCACATATTTTAATGCCTTTACCACAAAGGTTTAATTAATATCCACTGCGAACGTGAACTATACATGAAAGTACATTGGTCGAAAATTGTGGAAGTATATACCCTTCATTATGCCTAACGGTGATTTGTTCATACTTAATAGAGACAGCGTTCCATGTAAGCAGATATCTGTCCAAATTTTTTTTGATACCTTGGACAGTGGTTGTCTTTAGCTGCACTAATAAAGAGTCAATAACTTTAAGATTCGCTTAATTATCCAAAATAAATAGGTACGAGTTCGGTTATTTTATCTCCGATAGTTTTAATCAATTCTTCATGATTGAAAACATCTCTGCTTGAACAACACTACAATTTCCATCCATTTTTTAGGAGTAGACCATTGTTAGTAGCTTACACAAGGCTCCGGCTATCGTGCCTTCTTCTTCTGTCTTTGATCCGTCTGTATATATAGGTAGACCGATTAGAGATTGATTGGCACCGTTCCAATAATCCCTGATTGGAGTCAGTATTTAAATTTTATTGAAACTTATGGCTGGAGATATGTAATCGCTGTTGCGTTTGTGAGTGTTGATGTTTACTTCAACTCTAAGAAAATCCAGCAGGGAGACATGACCCTGACTGCAGCATATTCTGTTCTGATAGCCTCATCCCACTTCGTTAAGGCTGGCACCATAATTTAAGTTCGATCGGAGAGAGGTTAAGCATTAGGATGCTTGAAATGCTCTTTTTAAGCGCCTGTGATTAGAATTGAAGCAGCAGCGTGCCACCAGACAAGACATCGATAGGAAAGGAGGGACCAAATCACAGCATTATGTATCCAGAGTATGTTAGAGGAAAAGAATTCCCAGCTCTTTTAATAAAATCTTTCTTCATCTGTCCAAAGCCTTGCCAAGATATTTGACTGCAGAAGAGAGCTTTAAGGTGGAATGTTTTTGTCCGGCTTGCGCTTATGTGTGAGCAGTACCAACTCTGTCTTTGTTGGGTTATCTGCTTGCCCA